TAGATTCCAAAAAACTGTTGCATTGCTTGTTTGCAGCATGGATGAAATTGGAAGGTCTAGAATGGTGTTGCCTGGGGTGGGCAGCCCAGAAGCACATATTAAGTCTAATGACATCAAAGTAGACCCAAGCTTCTTGGTAGAAACCCAAATTTGTTCAAGCGCTGCTTACTCATGTCTACCAGTTCCTTTTTCAAGATTCAACCACCAATTATTAAGCCGGATACAATCAGATAGAATGCCAGAAACATTATCAGAACATATGCCACAGAAAGAATGTCAGAGTATATTCCAGGTAGAATGCCAAAAACAGCTCCGCGCAAAATGTCAGAAAAATGCCAGGTAGAATTCCAGATGATATGTCAAGACGATGTCAGGGTTTATCGTCATAGACCGTTCCAAAAACTGTTGCAGTGCTTGTTTGCAGAATAGATGAAATGAGGAGGTCTAGAATGGTGTTGCCTGGGGTGGGCAGCCCACAAGCACAAAAAAAAGTCCAATGATATCAAAATAGACCCAAGCTGCTTGGTAGAAACTTAATTTTTCCAGCATTCTACCTACTCATGTCTACCACTTCGTTTTTTCAAAATGCACCATTAAACTTTATCCAGATAAAGCTAGGGGGTATGCCAAAGAGCAAGAGCGGCAGATCTGACAGAGAGAAAGGACGGAAACAAATTGAGGGTCTGAAGAAGTTTTACTTCATTTTTTTGAATCTTGATGTAGAGTAGACCCTACATGATACGTAACATGACTCGTAACATGAGGCATTCCAGACCCCACTCCAGACCTTACTGTTATTTTCATGTTAATTCGGTAAAATTAGAGTAGACCCTTGCCTCCAAAACAGGCAAAAGGTCTATGATCAGACAAGAAAATCTCGGGAAACCCTCAGGTAACTCCTAAAAAGACCCGGGTTTTAGGGTCTGAAATACAATATCCAGGGCCCCTGCCAAGTAGCTGAGAGTATGTATATAATATATAACAATAGTTTATAACATATATATAATATATAACAATAGTTTATAACATACAATATATAACAATAGTTAATGGATGTTAATGGAGGCCCCCAATATCCCAACGGATGGGGTGTTGATCACATTTTATAACCCCCAGCCGAGCCGAGAGGCGCCAGTCGGAGTCGATCTGCATCGCCAAAGAAGGTGCCGCAGTCCATCGCGCCATGCTTCGATGAGGTCTTGGCCAGAGATAAATGTGTGGTATAGCATGGTATAACCATTACCTGGTTGTAGATGATTGTAGATGATTATTAGATGATTATTAGATGATTATTAGATGACTATTAGATGACTGTTAGATGATTATTAGATGACTATTAGATGACTATTAGATGATTATTAGATGATTATTAGATGATTATTAGATGATTTTTAGATGATTATTAGATGATTATTAGATGATTATTAGATGATTATTAGATGATTATTAGATGATTATTAGATGATTATTAGATGATTATTAGATGACTATTAGATGACTATTAGATGATTATTAGATGATTATTAGATGACTCTTAGATGATTATTAGATGATTATTAGATGATTATTAGATGACTATTAGATGACTATTAGATGATTATTAGATGATTATTAGATGACTATTAGATGATTATTAGATGATTATTAGATGATTATTAGATGATTCTTAGATGATTATTGGATGATTATTAGATGATTATTAGATGATTATTAGATGATTATTAGATGATTATTAGATGACTAGGAGATGACTATTAGATGATTATTAGATGATTATTAGATGACTATTAGATGACTATTAGATGATTATTAGATGATTATTAGATGATTATTAGATGATTATTGGATGATTATTAGATGATTATTAGACGATTATTAGATGACTATTAGATGATTATTAGATGATTATTAGATGATTATTAGATGATTATTAGATGATTATTAGATGATTATTAGATGACTATTAGATGACTATTAGATGATTATTAGATGACTATTAGATGACTATTAGATGATTATTAGATGATTATTAGATGATTCTTAGATGATTATTAGATGATTATTAGATGATTTCTAGATGATTATTAGATGATTATTAGATGATTATTAGATGATTTTTTTGATGATTATTAGATGATTATTAGATTATTATTAGATGATTATTAGATTATTATTAGATTATTATTAGATGATTCTTAGATGGTTACTAGATGATTATTAGATGATTATTAGATGATTATTAGATGGTTATTAGATGATTATTAGATGATTATTAGATGATTATTAGATGATTATTAGATGATTATTGGATGATTATTAGATGATTATTAGATGCTTATTAGATGCTTATTAGATGATTATATATTAGATGGTTATTTGATGATTATTAGATGATTACTAGGTGATTATTAGGTGATTACTAGGTGATTATTAGGTGATTATTAGGCGATTATTAGGTGATTATCAGGTGATTATTAGATGATTATTAGATGATTATTTGATGATTATTAGATGATTATTAGATGATTACTAGATGATTATTAGATTATTATTAGATTATTATTGGATTATTATTAGATGATTATTAGATGATTTTTAGATGACTATTAGATGACTATTAGATGACTATTAGATGACTATTAGATAATTATTATTTGACTATTAGATGATTATTAGATGATTATTAGATGATTATTAGATGACTATTAGATGGCTATTAGATGACTATTAGATGACTATTAGATGACTATTAGATGGCTATTAGATGATTATTAGATGATTATTAGATGATTATTAGATGATTATTAGATGATTATTAGATGACTATTAGATGACTGTTAGATGATTATTAGATGACTATTAGATGACTATTAGATGATTATTAGATGATTATTAGATGATTATTAGATGATTTTTAGATGATTATTAGATGATTATTAGATGATTATTAGATGATTATTAGATGATTATTAGATGATTATTAGATGATTATTAGATGATTATTAGATGACTATTAGATGACTATTAGATGATTATTAGATGATTATTAGATGACTCTTAGATGATTATTAGATGATTATTAGATGATTATTAGATGACTATTAGATGACTATTAGATGATTATTAGATGATTATTAGATGACTATTAGATGATTATTAGATGATTATTAGATGATTATTAGATGATTCTTAGATGATTATTGGATGATTATTAGATGATTATTAGATGATTATTAGATTATTATTAGATGATTATTAGATGACTAGGAGATGACTATTAGATGACTATTAGATGATTATTAGATGACTATTAGATGACTATTAGATGATTATTAGATGATTATTAGATGATTATTAGATGACTATTAGATGGCTATTAGATGACTATTAGATGACTATTAGATGACTATTAGATGGCTATTAGATGATTATTAGATGATTATTAGATGATTATTAGATGATTATTAGATGATTATTAGATGACTATTAGATGACTGTTAGATGTGACTATTAGATGACTATTAGATGATTATTAGATGATTATTAGATGATTATTAGATGATTTTTAGATGATTATTAGATGATTATTACATGATTATTAGATGACTATTAGATGACTATTAGATGATTATAGACCTGGTTGGTGGTTTGGAACATGAATGTTATATTTTCCCATATATTGGGAATTTCATCCCAACTGACTATGATTTTTCAGAGGGGTAGGTCAACCTTCAACCAGTTACAAGTTGGTAACTACTAATTATTAGTGATCAGATCTAATTAGTAAAGCAGGGAGGGTTTCTTACCAGATTTAGCTGATTATGATATTCTGCTAAACCCAACGATACCTGGAAGGATGTTGATAGGAGATGATAGGAGTATATGGATTGATATTGGATAATAACGGGATAATCATGGATATTTGTAGGATAGCTAATAATATATCATATATAATAAACCATCCCCAATGTTGTTTTAGTGTTGGGTGGGATTATGAAATTAACAGGCCCCCAATGGTTGGTTCATAGAATGGTTTATGGCAGCCAGGGCCTACCAGACTACCCAATTTCTACTCATCTCAATATGATTGAATATGTGGGGATGTGTCAAAACCCTGGTACCTAGTGAACCCCAAAATAGCTGGTAAATGGATGTTCATCCCACTAAAAATGTATCTATAGGTATTGACCCATACCCATGTCATTTGTGTCATTCCGAAACCCAGAAAGAACCGAGATTTTTTAACTACCATGATGGGGATGTATTCACCAAAACACAATCAAATTTGAACCTCCGGAACATGAAATCTAGCATAATCCAGCATGTTTTCACATGTTTCGGATATACCCAATTTTGAGATATTTTGAGAACCCACCAATGTTTGAGTTTGCCTCTTTGAAAGCAATTGAGGAAAGTCATGGAACATTCATGGCTGGTATCCAGGCTCATGAAACCCTCGCGCGGCGGCCAGGAAAAAGTAACTAAAAGCAACAAGAAGAAAGCGCGAGAGGCGAACGACCATGAGTGAACATTCCCAAGACAATTTTAACAAAATTCCCACCTGGATTTTTGGCAAAATCTTGGGTGTTTTTAACGGAAGTGAAGATGCTGACTGGACTGTCCCAGGGGCACAGTCATCAGATCCGAAACTGGACCAGTGTTTAGGGCAGGATTTTTTCATTTTGCTATTCCTCTGGGAAAGGCGGGATATATCGGGATGTGGGGTATCCCGATCATGTTCTTTTTTCGGCAGGGATCATGGCTCAAGCTCAAGCTCAGTGAGAGCCACCGGCGGCTTTCTGAATGCAGAAGGTGTTCCAGCAAATCCGACGTGCAGAGCAGGATGGGCTCTTCAGGGCTACAACTGCAGATGCTTTGTTCAATTTCCATTTTTTAAATTCGATCTTGAAGTACTTCCAAGCCAGCCCAGACCGGAGCTCCAGGTATGATTCTCTGGAGCGGGTGTTGCAAGTGGATTTCTTTATCAGCCATTCTTGGTCATGTCCATCTTGGATGAAACGACTGGCTCTGTGTCATTGCCTCAACCTGAACTTGGCCATTGGATCATGTGGCTGTGCTTTCTTCCCATTGTGATCTTGGTACTACGTGCAGGTAGCATCCGCGCTGTGGCACACCAAGATCCAGCACTGAGGTACGGTCTTTTATTGTTGTGGCCTTTCTTGATGTTTCTGGGCACGTATCTCTTTGGACACCTGCTGTACCCTCGCAGGTTTTGGATCGATCAGGTCTGTGTCCATCCATCCGATCCGGAGGTGAAGGCAAGAACCCTCGAGGCTATTCCCGCCTTCGTAGCTCAGTCAAAACAGATGCTGGTGATTTGGGATGACACTTACTGGCAAAGACTCTGGTGCAATTATGAGGTCGCTGTTTATGTGAAAGCTTCTTCAGCACGGCCCATACGCTTTGTGCCAGTCTGGATGCCCTTGTGGGTCTTGTCGAGCTTCACTTTTTTCACTTTGATGTGCTTCTTGAGTGTTGGAGGAACTCAGTCTTACCAACTGGATTTGGATTCAACGCTTTCATTCATGGTCTCTTACATGATGAATGACGTGCCCGTGGATGTGGTTTCGGCTGGAATCTGTGCTTTGCCTTGTTTCTGGCTGGGCGTGCGGAAAGTGCAGAAACATGAGTTGATGCTGAACCAGATGAAGCACTTCGACATTCGAAGTACTGAGTGCACAGTGGAAAGTGACCGCATAGTCATCCAGCAACAAATTGTGAACCTTTTTGATGAAGCCTTGGAGCCTCCGGTTCAAGTCCCTTTTGGAACTGTTCCAGATATGCCAGATGCTCCTTTGGTGTCTCCGGAAGTGCTTTGGGACATCCGTGATATCACTAGCTACCCGACTCGTGATGAAATCCTGGACCACTTCAATGCATATGTGAGGGGGCCATTGCGTGAAAGCGTTGAGGCATCCATAGGAAAAGAGGATTATCTCCCCCTCAACTCTTGCATCGCGGCTAACTTGCCAATGATTTTGGGTGGCTTTACGATTGCCCTTGGATGTAATGGCCGTGCGGATTGTGAGCTGTCAGCCTCGTACTTGGGGTATGCTTCGGTCACGGAGTACATGCTTGGCAATCTGTTTGTATGTGGAGTACAGATTCCCTTGACATGGATCCTCATCTTTCCGCTGGTGCTGCGAACCACTGGCCTGGTAACGCGAGCCATGTCAACTGGAATTTGGCAGACACTCGCGGGTGCATCTCTCGTAGGATTGGTGCTTTCTGCCTGTTTTTTTCTCATGAGTCTTCAATATATGTTGTTTACCTTGGTTGTCAGCAAGTATTCCGCAATATGTTTGGTGGCTTACGTGTCCTGCTTTGCCATTGAATTCTGGGCATTGTGGTTTTGCTTCTTCAGGACCCGAGCCCAAAACTCCTCACGATGTTTTGCCATTTCTGCTTCAACACCTTGACGTCGAAGATGCAAGGGAAAAAACGACTTGTCTTATCAGAATGATTTCTGCGAAGTCGCATTAATTTTATCTGGTCCGGTTACAGTTATATGTTTGCACATCGACGCACAACGCAAGGCAATTTGTTGGCAAATGCCCGGCTTGTTTTAGGTGTGGCAAAACGCTTTGCCACAACATTTTGCCACAAAAATTAAAAACGTTGGAATTTGGTTTATTTAGTCAACATAATCGTCCAAGTCAACACAATTTCAATCAATTCTCAATAAATCGTTCAACATTGTATTTGTGACAAAATGTAAGGCAAAATGGATTGCCGCAAGTATCGCCACACGTTGATATATATATATAATATATAATATGTTTACATATATACAGATACACTAATAATTAATATACCACCATTGCACACCATTGCCACATCATTGCCATACCTGTGTGCCCATTGACACCCCCCATTGCCAATCACGTAGAGTTACATTTCAATCAATGACATGTCCCATGCAATATCAGATACAATGAAATTGTCCGGTGTGTTCTATAGCATTTATCATGGTAACACACACATATGTATATATATATATATCATATACATGATACAAAATTTAAGATTGTATCATATCATATACCATCTGGTTATGTCACAATTCGCCATTTGTCAAGATCCACCATGCTATTTTCTGTTCGGTCACCATCTATTTCTATGGGCCAATTTGCCACCAACTCATGTGGGTCCTCGCCAGTCCTCCTCGCGGCGGAGCCGGGGGCGGAGCCGGGCAGCTCAGGTCTGAAAAGTCTGAAAACCTCACCGGGTTCCCGGGTTTCCCCCGGTACCAGGTTTTTTAAAGAGCAAGCCTCACAATCATGGAAAATTCCAATAGTATCACAATTTGGTTTATAAAATTTTATAAATATCATCAACTAGCATCCGGGTTCTACACGTTTCTGATTGTTTCTGCATCTGTTTGGTGGTTAGGTAAAATATTAAACACCCTCTGTCTATGGTCCCGAATATACATGTGGATTTATCCCGGGCGATCTACCATGGTAACTGTGGGGGGTGTTAAATATGAACCGGGGGAAGGAATTAGGTGATTTAGAGGTGATTTCTAGCGGTTTAACCAGGCGGGGTAGAGTTAATCGATATAACAACTAATGAATCCGGTCAGTGGATTGCTTGAGGGGGTAGCTCAACCACCAACCAGATATGGACTTAGCATGATTTGGCCATCAAAAATGCAGGATGAACCACGTGCAGACTGGGATTTAACAATTGTTTCACAATTGCATGAAAGAAGCTATACCCTGGTGTACAAGATTCTGTTTTGTGGTTAGTGTTTCAAAGGTTGTATGATGGTCTATATTCCGTCCGGATGATGATGATGATGATGATGATGATGGTGGATTATGGTGGATTATGGTGGATTATGGTGGATTATGGTGGATTATGGTGGATTATGGTGGATTATGGTGGATTATGGTGGATTATGGTGGATTATGGTGGATTATGGTGGATGGTGGATTGTGGTGGATTGTGGTGGATTGTGGTGGATTGTGGTGGATTGTGGTGGATTGTGGTGGATTGTGGTGGATTGTGGTGGATTGTGGTGGATTGTGGTGGATTGTGGTGGATTGTGGTGGATTGTGGTGGTGGTGGTGGTGGTGGTGGTGGTGGTGGTGATGGTGATGGTGATGGTGATGGTGTGGTGATGATGATCCCAAATGACTCGCATGTTTTTGCATTGGGTTTGGACCGTCTTGGTGACATGGTTCAAAAGCCGAGCGGACCGTCAAAACACGGGATCTAAAGAGACCAGAGAACCTAACGTGCCACAGGGTATGTACCAGTAAGGTAGGAAACGAAACTTTGACTTCAAATATGATCTGGTTGGTGGTTTCAAACATGAATTTTATTTTCTAAAATATGTGGGATAATCCTTCCCATTGACAAATATTTTTCAGTGATTATTATATTTTGGTTGTATTGTTTCTATTAATCAACTTGGTTCTGGAGTTCGGTGTATAGAAAGATCAAGTTCCACATGTTTTGCGGAACAGGCAGGAGAATAGGTGTCTCGCAAAAAAACTCAACTTGAAGAAGTGTTTATTTAGTGATAGCCCATGTAGAACATAAACTGAGAAGGTGGATAAATCTACACGAGGTGGATAAATCATCCCATCTTTTCCGTTGGACTTTTTTCTAATGCATTCTTCGGAATGAACGGCACTCAGGTGATTCCCACAGCCGTTCCGAACGACGTGAGAAGAGGCAGGTGCATTTAGTAGTGACAAATCCCAACAATGCTGTCACAATACACCACGAACATGCGATTAAAATTTACTTGCTGCACAATTTGGGAGTGTTTATTTTTGACCGATAGCCAATGTCTCCTCCGTTTATTGATGATACCTAGACTCTGCACCCATAAAAAATGGTTTTCTAACCCATAATTCTAGTGTTTTAACCTATTTCTATAGGTGGAGGGTCTCAGTACTGTCATTGATTTGGCAACATTCCTGTCACGGATTCATTCTCCACTGCTCGTGTGTTTTTATTGAACTTTGACTTAAACAAATCCCATTCCCATTCCTACTCAACGGCTGCTCTATAATCAGCAAAAACATAATATATGACACCTTTAACATTTCTGCAGAAATGCGGCTTCAGATGATTCTGGATCACGGCAAAATTCACAGGAAACCATGGTTTTTACCATCAAACATAGGGTTTTCCGGTTCCAATTTTCCCATCATCCAATTCCGATTCACCACCAGAAATCAATCCCTGGATCGTGGCATATCGTGGCCGAACCCCCAGGGGGCTTCAGAGCAAATCCCTTAAGCCACGGCAGGAAGTCGCGAAGGTCTAGTGGCTCCAGTGGTTAATGCCCCAGGAACCGTGTTTGATTTAAGCGCAACGCGATCCTGAGATAGAACTTAAGTAAGTCATTTTCAAAAATTTTCCGAAAAATGCTAGGAATGCTAGGATAGAGATGTTGGGAATTATATGGAATTATGATCCTTGTCCATCTTTTTTGGTGCTTGAAAAAATCTTGGAATCAGAACCACGAACCACAACATTTTGAGGATCCCCAGAAGGCGCCAGGCGAGGGCATTTCTCATACTCCAAGTACTCTCTCAGAGGCTACTTGGATATCTTGGATCTGTCAATCATATGGGTATGGATCAATACCTATTAATACCATTTTTAGGGGGATGAACATCCATAAATCCCAGCTATTTTGATGTGAACTACAGGGGTACTACTGGTTTTGACACACTGCCATATATCCTCTGGTAAATTAATGTAAATCAAGAGTTCAAGCCTGAAAATCACGAAATTTGAGTGGAAACTTCACTTTCCAGCCCCTTTTTTTCTAGGGTTGAACTGTGAAAATTTTCATGGAGGGTACCATCACCGGTGATCGTTTACATTGGGAAATCCTGCAGGTTACTAGCCATGGAGGTTTCGTTCGCTCGGAAACTCGAATATCTAACTCAATGGGGGATGTTCCAGCAAGCCATGTCTTACCTCTCAAAAATTACCCTCTGGTAATTTAACATAGCTATTGAAAATGGCCATTTATAGAGGATTTTCCCATTAAAAATGGTGATTTTCCATAGTTATGTTAGTTTACCAGAGGGTATCCATTATTATCCCAATATGTTCCTTATTAAAAAAAATATACCCTCTGGTAAACGTTTACATAGCAAACTGGAAAAATCACGATTTTTAATGGGTTTTCAGTAAATCCACTATTTCAATGGCCATTTTCAATAGCTTAATGTTAGTTTACCAGAGGGTAAAAACCAGATTGACCTTAAAGGGTTTGATTACCACACTCCACTCGTTCATCACGAACCCTGGCCCTGGCCGAGGTCACCGCTCGAAGCGCCGAAGAAAGGACTCGGACGACTCCTCTGACAGGCGCTACTGGTGACCGGGGATATGGCGGGGGTTCCATAGTGTCAATGGATTGGTTTAAGGGAAAATCACAGGAAACTATCGATTTTCCCATTAGATATAGGCTTTTCCGGTTCAAATTGTCCCTGAAACCAATCCATTGATAGTCATGGGGGTACCCCAAGCTCGCTGGATGGTTGATTTGCAATGGAAAATCCCAATCTCAAATGGATGATTTTTGGGAGGATCCCCATGACTTAGGAAACCTCCTTTTTCATCATGATGAGGCAGTGGATGGACAAAGGGTTGGGGTGTTCCCAACATTTTCAGGTAGGTGGCAATTGCACACACCAAGAGCCCTTTGGATCCTTTGAAAGGTAATCTCAGATGGCTATGGAAAATCCCTAGAAATGATGTTGTTTGTTTGTTTGTTTTTATCTCGTGGGAAAATCATCGAAGTAGATAGTGGATTGGAACATCATCAAGCGCATATTTTTCCCAACGGCCAGGAAGAGGAAAAAGAAGCGACACTAGTCGCCAGGATGCCGAAGATGCTGTGAGATTCTGATCAAATCATTGGAAGTGTCCAAACCTTGCCCCGTTTTTTGTTGACAATACCACATTCCCATAAGATACCATAAGATACCATAAGAACGTCATAGAACATCCATCATATCCATCCAATTCGTCTTTTTTTCAGGCTCCCAGTATTGGTGTAAATTGATGGGAAGCCCCGACATTTCGGGATTAAAGACTATGGTTGAAACAATTTATTGCAAGACGATGACGTCCAAGTGACCTTTGGTGTAACAGCCTGCAACAACGCGCGGCGGATATGAAGGGTCCGCTCCCTTAAAAACGGACCCGTGGATCAGCGCAGTGAGAAAAAATGCCTGTTCTGCATGGAATGGGCATCCCAGGATCCCCTTGCCCCGTTAGGGATTAGTATGCCCACTGTAGGGAATCCCATGGAATGTGTAATGACCATGCCCCATGGTCATGTGACTGCAGCACAGCCCTTGTAATTAATGAGAAAACGATGCTAAACCCAGTTGATCTAGGGGTACTTAGTGGTACTTATTTTCATCCTTGTATCTGGGGTGTTGGGAACAACCCTGCAATTGCTATGTTTTTTGCACTCCACGATCTATACTAATTATATCTGACTAATATATGTATGTTGAAACAATGCTAAAGATGTTCCCCAAAAAAACATACGTGCCATTGCTTGACAAATGGAGGCTTTGATTTTGCCCAGTTTCTCATTGCATGTATTTGATTCTGTGGATAGGTGCGAAATCTTGCACTAGTTGGAAACTATTCGTAGCTATGAAACACTGTAAATAATAGGATTATACTGAAGTTATCATGAAAAACATGCGTAACTATTTCCCGTAAATATTCGTAACTATGAGAAAACATCTACAGTATGTCGGCCGGCCAAAGTAGTGGTAACAATATCCAGCTGGCTGTATTGTGCCAGGCAGCTCCACTGCTGCACCCAGTAGCCCCCTGGCAGCCTGAAACCTCAGCTCCGGGCGAAAGAAAACAAGGAGTGATGACTTGGTTTAGAATATTTTATAAGATTGGTATAAATCATGGTTATAAATATAATACATTATACTATAGTATACTATTGTTCTTGATGACTTCACTCTATAAGATTTGAGACGCAGATTCTATTCTGTTTGTTGGTATATCAAACGAAGACCATTTTATATTATATCCACCAGTTTTTATCCATCATTAAGTGGACACGAGTAAAGATAATTATTTTCACATATTTTCACTTTGGCATTTGCCATCCTGTAAACATTACATGTGGAGAACCCACTAGCTATTTGTTTATCATTTTCCCAGGGTTTCTCCATTGATTTTCCAAATCTATTCCGATACCAAGGCTAACAGCTCCCCTTCCAGATCACCGCAGCCGGTGAACGAGGACTCGAGCTGATGTCGCTGTCGCGTGAATGGTTGCAAACGGGAAATCTTATGGAGGTTTCCTAAAATAGGGCTACCCCTTTATCGCTGCTGGATGGTGCAACTTTCATGGAAAATCCATCTATAAAGGAATGATTTACTGTAGGGGTACCGCCCATGACTAAACGGAAAGCCCCATATGGATACACATTGCAGCATCCCAGAGAAAAATGGGATGAGTACATTTTGCAAATAAATATCATACATGGGATATGGGGATGGCAGAATGTATTTCTCGCAGCAAGCTGCGTACTGGGTAGTATTATTTTTCCCATGTGCCATGTGAATTTTTCCTCTTCGATAGCCATTCTCTCCAATTTACCCTCTGGTAATTTAACATAGCTATTGAAAATTGCCATTTATAGTGGATTTTCCCATTAAACATGGTGATTTTCCATAGTTATGTTAGTTTACCAGAGGGTATCTCCCCTGGTTGTGAAAAATTCCATGACGAGGAAAGCCCACCGTGACTTGGATGGGTCAGCCACCTATGATTCATCCCCATGACTTAACCCTCCATGATGAGATCGGTTAAGTCAGTATGTTCGCGCCCGCCTTTTTAGATGTGAAACATGTACAACATGTTAACGAGGTGAAGTGATCTATATCCGGATAAGATGGAAAAATAAACAATTCAATTAGGTTAACATTGGCAATACTATTAGTATTTATATAATCCTTACTAGTATGTTATTGTCATATACTATTATTATTGTTACAAAGTATGTATTGTTGCTTTGTATATAACTACGTATATACAGTATACATATGTATACATATTTATAATATATATATATATATATTAATTAGTGTGTTAATTGTATATTATTGTTAGGTATAGTATTATCGTGTACATATATATATATATATATTATAGATATACTAGTGTTACGGCAAGAGCCTGAGGTTTGTCCGGACTCACAACGAGCGTCTTGGCAAGCCAAGATGGCGATGACGATGACGACGACGACGACGACGACGATGATGATGATGATGATGATATCTTCTTGAAACCCTTTAAGAAACCCTAGTGATTGCATGGTTAATCGTTCCATGGGCTGGGGTATTTTGATATCTTTTTGAAACCCTACAAGAAACCCTAATGACTGTATGGTTATATATGATATGTAGAAGCAACATGTTCTGGTTATATGACATGTAGAAACAATATGTTCTGGTTAACACCCTGGCAACATAATTGAACATAAAATCCTTCCCGTCGTTTGACGTCGTACAGAATTCCTTGATATGTACGCTATTCTGGGCTTGGGCAAACCTTGTGGTCTGTGTGTAGTATTATTGTCGTTACTACTGTACCTTCCTCGTTGTCATTATTTAGTATTATATAGTGTATCATTATAATTATCCTCAGGATAAAGCCGGCTATATTATCGATATTGCAGTATAGTATAATAATGTGGGTAAAACCATGTCATAAACCAGCCATTTGGGAATGGTAACCATACCACCTATAAAGATGGTGATGGCTGGGGGATGGTTCATGGCATTGTTTACCCACATTACTATAGTCTATAGTTATGTACCCATGTAAGAACCAACCAGATATTTTAGTGTATACCCCATTTTCATACACATTGATTATCCTATATTAATCACATTTAATCACCATTAATCACCATTAATCACTGTTATTATCATGTTGTCACAGCTTTTGTGAATGGGCTTCCTTCAATGTCTAAATGGATCCCTTCGGCCTTGATGCGCGCAAGCAAGCAAGCGTGGTTCTTTTCGCTATCGCCAAGGGCGGTTTACGATCGCTAAGTTGGTGAACATGACTAATGACCCCTCTGGTAATGACTCACAGTTTGCGAACTTGAACATGGCCCAGTCGAAATAGTGAGTTTTCCCATTAGAAATGGTGATTTTCCATAATTAGTTATGTTAGTTTACCAGAGGGTAATGCGTGTGGTAGATATCTTCAATGGCCATTTCAGGAATCTAAAATGGAGGTACCTACCATATATAAGGCCTTATATGGTACAGTACCTCCATTTTAGGATCCTGAAATTCCCATTGATATCTTAATGGGATTTATACACCACTGGGAGACCCGTCTACTCCGGTCGCAGGTGAAGTTCGATCACCGTCGCACTGCGGGTGAGGTACGACGATGCAAAAAGGCGGCAGCGGCTGCGGGGGCGGAGGATGGCAGAGGTGCTATCGCTATCGCTATGGCCATTTTATAACAGATGTTTTGTATGTGTTTTGTATGGTTTTTGGTGTTACAACCGGAAAAGAAAGCTAGAAAAGTACATGTCATGAATATTACTATGTGAATACTATTTGAGTAATTAGGGTTTTGTTTTTCTCTACTTTTTTTTCTTTTCGGGTTACATATGTATATATAATATGGTGTTTTGCAATGTTTTATGGACTCAAATTTGATGTTACTTGGAAATTTAATTTGACACTGATGAAATTCGATGATGAACACTGAACAGTGACCTCTGGTTGATTGTTCGTTATAAGGGTTCTTACTACCTGGCTTGCGGGGGATTATGACATCATCCCCAAACGCTTTACTTATTTACTTGTTGTTTGAGACTCGATCATAATTATTAACTTATTAACCATGCTAGCTATGGAATTTATGGTCAATAGTTGGATAAACCCAAATTCTAAGGGTGATTGATGGATTTGGGTTTTTTCAAACCTTGGGCAGGGCAGCAATCGTCACGTTGGGACCCCGTACAATGCTATCCTCGGGATCATGTGGGAATTGCTTGCGTGGTACCATTGTTTTCTGCTGAGATACACGCAAGACTCAAGACTTAGATACTTAGCATGTTTTGGGTGGGTTGGATTACCACCAACCAACCGTATTTGCAGGGGGTCATACAGCTTTGTCTGGTTGAGACATGCGGCACAAGTCTTCAAGTACTGTTGTGAAAGCAGAGACATTTGACTCCCGCTGCGGCCACAGAGTAAAATCAAGTCTATAAAATCTCTATATATACATATATTTATATACATACATCTTTTTAGGAAAACATGACAAGTGACAGGGCCCCAGATTTCAGAGCCAGCAGAAGCAGAAGTTGCATCTTTTTTTTCCCCTCATAGATCGCCACGTGGCAGGGGAAGCGCACGGACATTAAACCACATGAGTGGGACAAGTTTGGCTACTTTGCCAAGGTGCCGGAGATATCCGGAGATCAACGTTTGCCAAGGGTGTGCTGATTTTCCATCCTCCAGTCACATCCTCCACAATTGCTATCAGATATATAGACACCTTCATGAGTGTGGATAGAATTATAGTATAGAAATGTATAGAATTCCTACGAAGTTTCTCCCATTTACTTCATGCCATGGGAGTAGGCATGGTAAACACTTGGCCAGCAAAGGGGATGATCCCAATGAAACTCTGTATCCCCAAATGTTCAAACTTTTCAGGTTAGGGTATTACTGTAATTGTTGCAAAATGGATCCAGATTTCTTTATTGGACTCAATTGAAAGATCATCCCCATACAGATGAACTATATTTTTTCAGTCTCCTTGAGTCACAATTTCTTGACTAAACAAAACATTTTTATACATATTTCCCTTATTGAAGTCTCCCCTTATTGAGTCACCATTTTTCTTAAACCAAACAGATGAAATACCCCAGCTGCACCAGCGCCCACAGCGCCCAGGAAGAGGTGTTACAAAGACCCATCGTCTACGAAGGATCGACGGTGCCTATCCCCAGAGTAAAGGCCTGGACTCCGACGGCTGGGGCTTTTCGTGGCGGTGGAAGGCACCAAATCGCAGTGGGAAATGCGATGCACATACTATATATGTATATATGTAATTATATGTATATTATATATCATTGACATGATATAACTATTATGTGTATGAATATTATAATATAATATATATTCCATATATACGGTCTATAGATGCAGATCGAAATAGATTAAAATTTGATTAAATCCGTATATTATAATATAGATACAATGTTTCAATGTTGAGACAGAGCACTTGGATCCTCCGCCGCCGAAGTTGGCATACGCTCCGTCAATTAGTTTTGGGGGGTTGTCCAAAACTAGGTACCCATACCCCTAAGCCATCCAGGTGCTCCCAACATGTTCACATCATCCCATCAGTTTCTCCTTGGAATCAACACGCTGACGTTTTTGTTTCGTTATTGCACAGGTCAATGACCCCTGGCAGTGTTTGACCGAAGGGGGAAAGCTCCAAGGATTTTCGGCTGATTTGGGCTGATGATTCTCCTTGTAACTTCGTTGGATTTGACTTACCATCTGGTAAACTAACATAACTATGGAAAATCACCATTTTTAATGGGAAAACTCACTATAAATGGCCATTTTCAATAGCTATGTTAAATTACCAGAGGGTCAGAGGGTGTCTTTTCTCTCAACGTTTTCCCGAGGACTGTTGCCAGGCCCAGGCCCCTGGGGGTCGGCCAGGCCAGCGAGATGACGCCGGAGCGCTTCTTCAAGGAGGTGGCGTGCCAAGCACAGCCCATCATCATCGAGGCGTAATGGCAAGGGTCGGCAACGGCGTGGTTCGGGTTTCGGAAATCCCTGGTGATGTTGATAAAGCAGTGGGAATGATGAAAGAAATGGGATGATACCATCTGGTTATGACTAACAGTTCGCCATGGAAAGATCCATCATTTTTCAGTTCGGTAAACCATCTGTTTCTATGGGCCATCTATACCATGGCGAACTGTTAAATAACCAGAGGGTACATATGTATTTTTGTTGTTTCATGATGTTTCATGACTAGAATGAGTTTTAATGTTCCACCATTTGGTGATTTTCATTGGATGAATCACGAGAGTAAGCCATGCACGGCACCAGGAGTGCTGCTCCCACTGGCCCGCAATGGAACGCTGGTCCATTGCCACTTGACGAACTTTTCAGCATTTTTCAGCTGGCCTGGGGAGAGAAGCTGCAAGAGATTGACAGATTGACAGGCCAAAATGTGTTTCAACCCAGAAATGATGTAATCTGAAATTTTCCAAAATTGGAGATGGACCCTAGTTTTTAGTATTTGGAGGACGTTTAGTAATAGGGGGACTCTAAGGAACAAAGATTGACTGCTTGCCCTATTGTTTTAGCCACAGATCCACGGCATGTGACATCAGGTTTCATGGATTTTTGTCCGTGACATATGCGATGGATCTAGGCATAGCAACGCACCAACGAGAGTTTGGTTAGGTGAAAAAACATCCACAATGATTCCCACAATGAGCCGATGGCCAAGAGATGAGTTCTAACAAAAGATTGGAACCATTTGGAGCCCATATTTATATTCTACAATGTGAGACCCCCAAGATAGCAAAGTTGGTTTATAAGTCCAATAACTATGGTTTGTGGTACGCAAATAACTATAGTTACTGGATGTTACTGGGGCGAATCTAACCAACAAACATCACTGGGGGGTGCCACATTGTATGTATATTGGTGTAATATCACCACTTAGGATATTATTGTATATAGTGAATACTATCATAATATGATGATTATACACTATATAACATTGTATTAATATGTAAATATAGTTACTGGGGTCAATCAAAACGACAAAACCCGGGATTTTTGATCATCGAAGTCATGGGGAATCTATGGACAACCCCCCTGGTAAACATACGTCCAAAAACTATGGAAAATCACAATTTTTCATGGGTAATTCAATAATTTTTCAAAGGGTAAATATATATATATTTATATGGTAAACCAACGTTACTATGGACAATCAGCATTTAAACAGTGGGTAAATCCACTATTTCGACTGGGCCATTTTCAATAACGAACTGTAACAAATTACCAGAGGGTAATGCCCAAGTCTTCGATTTTCGGGAAGCTTTAGAAAGAAATCCATGACCGTTCGCACATGGGCGCTTTTCGCTCGCGCTCAGGACGCTTTGGAAGAGAGATTCCGACATGTTCCCTTCAAGGCGGGACAGCTGAGAGGACTGAAAGATGTGATGAATCGCTGAGGGATCCAATCCAGGTTGCGAAAGATGACAACGGCAAGAAACTGCGCATGAAGCATCTTGGCTTGAAACCTGGGTTGTTGATGGTGGTTGAAAGGGTGGTTGGTGGATGTTGGTGCTTGCTATGTTTGGGTGAACTTTTTCGGGCTTTCGGTAGTTTGAGTCAATGTTTGTTGGCCATCAATGGAGCTATGTTACAACAATTGAATACAATTGATATATCCTAAAAATTACCTGATATATCACCGCAACATGAAAAAGTGAGGCATCGTGAGGCATTCCATGAATTTCCACATGCGAAGGGTTGCAGGGCCGGTCAGCCATGGTTCACCTCCCAGAACTGGGCCTGGCTGTTTTTGTTGGAGCTTTCTGACTCCGGGGACTATGGGATGTGGAACCTGATTATGACAGATGAATATGAAAAATTCGTAATAACCATAAATCAGGTTATAATATGTTATAATTATATTATAAATACCTGAATATGATTATGAGGAATAGATTATAAATTATAATTACCCTCTGGTAATTTTGTTAGCTATTGAAAAATGTCATAGAAATAGTTGATTTACCCATTAAAACTGGTGATTTTCTGTAGCTATGTTAGTTTACCAGAGGGTATAGATGATAATAAGTTTCACAATTGGAAGCATCATCAGCTGAGTTTGTTGAACTGACTCAACTGATTCTGGCACTTGATTCGGTTGCTCTCAGATCCACCATGCTATCAATGGGGAAATCCACTATTTCGACTGGGCCATTTTCAATAGCTATGTAACAAATTACCAGAGGCTAAATGTCATTATTGTCCAATTATATACTCACTATATCCCCATGAATATTCCAATGGATTTACTTGTCGGATGTGTTGTTTCTATTGTGGGACCACGGCCATCCGAGGTTCAAGTATTTTGCCGACTACGTCCGCCATCAACGGGTCCGCCGGCTGAGATAGAAATGTGAATTCCTACTAAGATAGTGGATTTATCACTGTTCTAGCTTCTTGGGGGTTTACTATATTTCATGTAGAGATTATTTGCGGATTATTGGTCTATTTAAGAAACTGTATCATTTTTTCAGAAGTATATTTGTCCTATAGGAAGTATTTTTTGATTGTTTATGGATTATCAATTCTATATCTGAATCATTTACTGTATCCATTTGTCAGTAGATACCATCTCCCAAATCACCATTGACCATGAAGATAGCCGAGTTTTCGTGGAAACGAATCTTCAACTGCCCTATGAATGGCTCTGTGTTGGAGTGATGGTCCCGATGTTGACGAATGCTCTACGTCGCAGAGACCTCTGAAGAACAACTTCTTGGATTTGATTTATGCAAATAATAGTAGGAAAATGTAGGAAATACTGAAATACAATGGGATATCAATGGAAATCAATGGAATAAAATTGGAATAGTAATGGATTTAATATGAAAAATATATATAATTTTCTCTGAAACTCATGTGAGACTGATTCGGCTGAAACTGAGAACAGATTCTTGGGGAATTGGCACTACCCAGGATGATAACCCGCTCTATTTGTTCGAAACGGACATGGACGACAATGCGCACATCAGGCACGCACTGCGGGTGTCCTCTACTAGGCTGATTGGCTGTCCATTAAAAACATGTGAAAACCAGCAGATCATTGTTCCGTTTCTCCATTATTTGCAAAGTGATCCCATCAAACATCACTGTGCAAAAGGCTTAAAGAAGCCATGGTGTGCAGGCCAGTCCATACTGAACCATGGCTAAATGGCTAAATAAGCAACAAAAAATGAACACGCATGGATCATGGATTTGACTGAAATTCTGGGTATATATATATACCCCAAAAATCCACTGATTAATCATGATTTTCGCATTGAAATGATGGAGCAATGGTCATTTTTGATGGTCATTTGAAGGTATTCCCCATGAACAAACGCATCTTGTTGGTTGTATACCCATGACATATCTCTGAAAATTGAAAGATGGCTTGATTCGAGAAATTTTCTCAGCAAGATCCCCATTTGCCCACCAGACATCGAGAACGCACAGAGGTACCCCGGGGTTTTCACCAACAGAGATGTGGAAAATATATGGTTTCCCACACTTTTTTGGGTTGTTCATAGAATTGGATGATGGGAAAATATGGGAAAATTTACAGGAAAGCCCGATCAATTTGATGGTAAAAACCCATGGGTTTCCGGTTAAGATTTTCCCAACAAAACCAATCCATTGAGTTGTCCACATCTTTTTTGGTTTACGTTTTGAAGAGGGTGAATCATCCGACGACTCGATCAAATGATTTCAGCAATGGACCAGGCCATTGATGGATGATTACGAGGTGCGCGGTGCCCTCGCGTTGAAAAACACCAGCCGGGTGCAACGCGCTGCAAGACACCCATGGTGGTTGCTGATTAGTTTGGGGGGTATATTATAATATAATATATATATATACACAGTACATATTAGACATATTGAATTATGAATGATCACCATCCATGTACTGAGAATTCCGTTCTTAACCATATGATAGTTGCCTTGCAGTTTTGAGCTTCCACATTCTCTTGCGAAGTGCAAGGAGTACCTTTTTGTGGCATCAGTGGTCAGTAGCAAGGTGTCACAGGTTCCAAGCAAGAATCTTTGACAAAGTTGATCTTCACTGAACTTAGTCACTCTGTGTCATCTTATGTCATCTATCTTTTCTGTTTTATTGTTAACTATAATATTTTTTTTATTACAGTCAACAATGAAACAGTAAAGATAGCATAAGATGGCATCGGCATTTTAGTCTTGGACAGTTCAGTTCTCTCACCATGGGGTATCCCCGGTCCAGAATCCCAGCATCACCCCCGCGATTCACCTCCACAGGTGCCGCAGTACTTTCCGCACGACTGGTTCTCCTTGGTGAACACCGATGCGAGGTGCTTCCCTTGGGACTGAGGGATAAGGTGTTCGTTTCAGATCGTTTAGGGCCTAGGGTCCCTAACATTGACATGTCATCAATACTTTGTTGCTTGACCCCATTTCTTCTCCTGGGTTGATGGGTTGGATATTGTTGGGTTTTCCATTTTTAGTTTGTTTCAAACTTGGAAACCACGTTCCATTCCATGCTGATCAACTTACCATCATTCTCCCCATGACTATTTTGGTGCGTCCAAAAATGTGGGATACCCAAGAATTGTCAAAAGCTGTTGTTGTCTTGGCGACAACGATAGTCAACCAGTGGATCTTACCTTCTGGTAAACTAGCATAGCTATGGAAAATCACCATTTTTAATGGGTAAATCCACTATAAATGGCCATTTTCAATGGCTATGTTAAATTACCAGAGGGTAGTCAACCAGTGGATCTTAATCTTGATAGTTGCATACCTAGACCACCCGTTGATACATGACTATTGGCATTCTACTCCAAATTCATTGTCAAATCATGGCGATTCTTTCCCCACTTATTTCATCGGCATGTCCCATCATTTCCCATTGAAATTACAATGTTGCTACATTCCTATGTTTTCCCTATCAAAATAACCATATCATGGCCAATAAATGGATTTTTTCCAAATAACATGGCCATAAAATTGCCATTCATTCCCTATGAAACTGGTGTATCCCCCAGCCCCAGCAGCCAGGCCGCCTTTTCGATGGTTCTGCATCGGCCCGAAACGCTCTGGGACCACGGCCCGGGCCCAGGAGATCCCAGGAGATTTTGGCCGGGGATTCCTCCAATTTTACTCGACCAAAGCGACTTTGTGTATCTTTTTGTCAGCAAAACTTATACGTTCTCTCTGCAAAACTGACATTTTTGTCAGTAAAACCGATATAATATATATATATACCATATATACTTTTTGTTGCCAGTAAAACCATGTAAAACCTACTTTTTGTCAGTAAGACCACTCCTTTTTTCTGTCATTTTAACCGTCGCTTCCCCGAGGTGCACACGGACCCATTAGGCACTGCAGCCTGGAATGCGGTGACGCATGGCCTGAAGCGATGGGCATGGAGCCCTGGTGACCTGGTAGCCCCCGGAAGTGATGTTGGTGGTTGAACCATAGCAACTAATTATAGAATATACTATTAGTTACTATAGATATAGCAACTATAGAATACTATATATATATATTATTATATATAATTATATAATTATATATATATATATCAATGATATATCTACCACGAAGCCAAACATTAGTGGAGTTATAAAGCCTAACTTTTACCTGACTTTGGGGCACCACCCTGTATGGTTAGCTATAATGCAATGGAAATCTGCTTAACTGCTTAACTGTTGCATTTATTAACTATAGTGAACCACGTATTCAGTTTTAGTTTAGTTTGGTCAACCAAGATGTATTAGACCGGATGTCTTCGATCTGCGATATTGGACAACCCTGTGTCTTGCCAGCTTGCCTAGTTTCTGCTTCTCAAGCTCTTCTTGATGACATAAAAGTATCTAATAACATGCAACAACTATCTCAAACATATCGAAAACTATCTAAAAGACTAGTTTTTGCAGAAATATCCAGCCAGGTCCACTTTTTTGAATCTGAACACGCCATCCAGACTCCCCTCCAGATCCCGAAAAATGGCTTTACCGGACGGCCCGGTGCGATTGGGCTCAACGCTCAGGTCCTGATGGAACCGCATGAAACCAAGAAACGCGTGAAAGGTGCGGCCTGTGACAAAAAAACACGAAGTGACTGCTGGTTGGAAATGTGACACGCCTATGTTTTGAAAATGGTGAAAAATCAGGTTCAATCACAAGCCATCTATCAGGATCTATCAGGTTTTTTATGTCAGGTTTTTTATGTCATGTTTCAACTGTTTTTGGCAGAAGCATAACATAAATTGAGCATAAAAAGCAGGTTTCTAGAAGCAACATGTCTGAAGATGGCCGTTAAATCAAGGGGGATTCTCATGACTCAAGCAGGTGGATTTACTTTTGGTCCCCTTGTTGCTGGCGAGATGGGGCTGAGTATAGTATCAACTAAAAATCCTACTTAAAGTAGTGATAGAACACTTTTTTCAAGACTATTTAAGGTGGTTTCTTGGCTAAGTTGGTTTGGTTGTAGAGGTTCGTTAGAGGCTTGCAGAGAAATTGACACCTCCAGCGCGTACTGCCTTGCACCATGGTGAGCCCTGGAGGAAAAGAGTTCCTGCAGAAGGGCGAAGATGATGAGGCGTGCAGATGGTATGTCTTGTTGATCTGAATCCTTCGCCATAAATGACTGGCGCTAGTTGGAAGTTATCAATTTGATGGGATGTTTAGGAATTCTGGGAAATTGTCCAGAAATTATCAAATATGTCCCGAATCCCTGAAACTTCATGGTTTCCGGATTTGACTTTTGAAGCTTCTTGGGACATGTAGGGACCGCAAGGTGGGCTCAACAGCGGGGCATGACATGTTGGATGATTTGGGTTTCAGGAGCGACGTGTCCCCAACAAGTGATGACAAGTGTAGGTCTACCCTCTGGTAATGACTAACATAGCTATTGAAAATGGCCATTTATAGTGGATTTACCCATTGAAAGTGGTGATTTTCCATAGTTATGTTAGTTTACCAGAGGGTATGTACTGTTATGTCAGGTTGTGTCTCACCTATATCTCAGCGATGTTTGACTGTTTGACGGTGTCAATGCCTTCGCGCAGGTGTTTCCCTCAGATAGTCTAGCCTGTCAATGGAATAAATCACACATGAACAGAGATCAGAGATTGAATACAAACCAGGGGATGACGCAATTTGTATTCTTTTGCCTGGGGTACCCTCTGGTAAACTAACATAACTATGGAAAATCACCATTTTCAATGGGTAAATCCACTATAAATGGCCATTTTCAATCGCTATGTTAGTCATTACCAGAGGGTATCACCATAAATTATTGCTGAGACCCTGATAGGCCATCATGTACTTCGACTACATTCTGCCGCGGGTGCACTGCCAAGACTGCCAAGATTTTTTATCAGATCGTCTGACCTCATCCACGAATGTTGGATCATGTTCAGCATGGAACATCCCATCTGAAAATGTTCCATCTGTAGAGTACCCCAATTGTTGATCAATTCCAAAAGGTGCTTCGTGACTCATTTTTTGAAGCTCCTGAAGTTCACAGCTAACCCAATTAACCCAGCTGACCCAGCTGACCTTGGCACTGAGATCAAACAAGCCTATCCAGACCTAAAGATCTACGAAGGTTTGCAGAAACCTGGCGAGGCCCAGGGCCCGGTCCTGGGTGCTAAGCAGCTAGATAGGGTCAGGCACAACTGGTGGCACGAAAAGCCCGAAAAGTTGTAGTCAGTTATTTGGGGCAGAATCCTGAGTGATGTGATGGTGTGGTTGGATATCTAAGAGAAATGAGAGTTGTTCAGCCGCTGAATATGCTGAGAAGATGTGCTTGGCCACCCAAGTTTCTCCTTGTAGGATGCAAGTCAAACTTCTTCATGACTCTTGGGTTAGGGCAATACGAGGAAACAGAAACAAGGAGAAGCAACTAGACAACTGATTCATAATCAGATTCCTATATATAAATAAATGTTTTTGGCCAGAACTTGAAACATATTATTGTAATATATATATATACGTATATATATATATATTAGATATTAGAATATAATATATATATATTGTTACATAATCATCAGATTCCTCTAGATCAGCTATCCACATTTTGTTAACCAGACCCAGATCCTCCAAGCGCCGGTTGAATTGTGCGGTGCCAGGTGATCTTCGTGCCGGGCGATTGGTGGCATGGCGTGTTGAACTTGGAGGTGGGAGATGGTGGGAGGGAGTCAGACCAAGGGAGATATCAGCAGCTAATATGATGAGAGCTGGGGGTTTCCATAAATTCTGGGTACCCTCTGGTAAACTAACATAACTATGGAAAATCACGATTTTGAATGGGTAAATCAACTATAAATGGCCATTTTCAATAGCTATGTTAGATTACCAGAGGGTAAATTATAACGACCTCACTGTTCTCCCTCACTGGGAATAATGGTTAGTAAGGGACATCATCCCCAACATAGCCTTAATTCAGGTTCGTGAATTATTATAATTTACCCAGATAAATTTATCCACTATGAAAATATCAGCTAATATGACTATTGGAGTAAAAAACCAATGGTTTCCATAGTCATGGGGGTACCCCAAGCTCGCTAGATGGTTTATTTCTAATGGAAAATCTGAATCTAAAATGGATGATTTGGAGGTACTCCCATTTCAGGAAACGCCCATATCATGGAGATTTGCTGGAGATTGGGATATCTTTATTTAGGTCTTGCCCATTTTTACGGTATACACTCTGGTAATTTAACAGTTCGCGAACTGGAAAATCACCATTTGTTAATGGGAAAATCATGGTAAATCACCATTTTTCATGGGTAAATCACCATTTTTCATGGGTAAATCACCATTTTTCATGGGTAAATCCACTATTTCTATGGCCATCTATAACTGGTCCATCGCTTCCATATAGCTACAAGTTGAATTACCTGAGGCTACCAATGGGATCCCTTTACGGAATATCAGCAGCATGGGGATATCGTGTAGATGAATAAATTGGGGATAAGATTTTTCTTGGTGGATAGATGTGGTAAAATTAAGTTTTAATGATTTAAATATGGCCTGATCATGCCGCTTTAACGTAGATCAAGTATTAGAATATACCTTTCAGTAAATTAACATTCGACCCTGGCAGACAGGGCTTGGAAGGTGAATGTTTCCACTATCTTTATGAGTTATTTTCAGGGTCTATGTTAATTTACCAGAGGGTAAGATTGTATGTTTCAAGCAAAGATGCTTCCAATATATCTGGGTAAATTCAGCCAGATCTCAGCCTGACGTGGGTTTTGTTTGACCTCTGCCGATATCTGAAGATTGGCTGATTGGTTTCTGCAGGTCATCCCCCCAAAAAAGGAGCAGTGAAACAAATCACTGTTTCAGTAGGGATTTACTGACTTTCTGATTTTTGATTGGGGGATAACAACTACAAATACTGGATGGGGGTTTCAAACATGACTTTTATTTTCCATTTCATATGAATGAACTCCATGATTTTTCAGAGGGGTAGGTCAACCACCAACCAGTATAACAACTACAAATACTGGATGGGGGTTTCAAGCATTTTTATTTCCCATTTCATATATGGGATTTACTTTTTCTGATTTTTTGGGGGGATAACAACATATGACAACGTAACTACACATATGATTGTAAATTTATCGCGACGTGCACGGACCCGTTGCAGGACACTGTGGCAGTGACGCAAAACTACTGTGGTCCTGATTCGGGGCGGCACATTGGAAACCACCACTTTGAGCTGGGAAAACTCGCCATATCTACCCCCGGCAATTGGATGTATAACTAGATTCAATGGATTGGTTTAAGGGAAAATTTACAGGAAAACCCCATATAAAAAATGGGAAAATCGATGGTTTCCTGTAGATTTTCCCTTAAACCAATCCATTGATAGATATGTTTGGCGTGACGGAAAAAAGTCCTTGGATAGGAAAAGCATCCAACCATATCCGACCAAATGTTTGAACATTCTCTACCATCAGGTCAGTTGCCCACACAGGGCATGCCATTGTTATCCTTGAATGTTTGGACATTTTAGGAACCATTCTTCCAGGTGCAAGCGTTTTCTCAGTGGAGGTATTTGAAGAACTCCATCTACAGTTGTTCCACCTGGTAATGAGTAAAGCTCTCTTTTCCATGGTGCCAGATATGTGGAAAAGCAAGGGTTTGGTTACTGTAGTGGCTCACCGGCAGAGCCATCCTTGGTTCATCCTTGGTTCATTTTCTTCGGAGCCATCAAGAAAATGGAGCCCTGAGTCTCGCCCATGTCTTGGGATGAGATCATCATGATTTATGGACTTTAAGGACCAAATCAATAGACAGTGCTACAAGAATCTATGTTTGAAGCGTGGTGTGTTTTTATCACCATAAATATCAATAAATAAAACACCAAATTCCCATCCTTTTTGGGGCTTACCATCAGCTCAACAACAAATCACGCAGAGTTGCACCATGGTCATCCATGGTCCTCAAAAACCTCGCGACATGCCCAGGACAATTTCGATTTGGTTTGGACCAAGACGCGACGCGAGCGTGAGGGACACCCATCGGCACGGCACGGAGGGGGCCGACCTCACCACTCAGCCGGATATATATATATATATACATATATATATATACATATATACATATATATACATATATATATATATACATATGGGACCATAGGCTAACCTGAAATCTCATGGTTGGTTATCATTATCTTAGAGAATGGATGTTTTTGAGGTATTCCGAATGTTGGACAAGCTGAGGTTTCTTAATTGCTGTGATTTGCCCTGAATCAGTGGCTAATGCAATGTTTGTTTCTCAATTTGACCTGAGATGATGATCAGAACATATCAGAACTGAGTCATATCATACTTGTTTGAATCAGTTGAAATCACCGTCAGATAGAGATACTCCAATCACCGGGGCTGTCTACCAGTTGAAGTGGGGACAACAATCCACTTGCAGCAGCAAGCATGGTCCATTGTTGCACCAGATGTAGACAAACATACCCGCCTGATTGGTGGTTTGGAACATTTGTTATTTTTCCATATATTGGGAAGAATCAGCCCAACTGACTTTCATATTTTTCAGAGGGGTAGGTCAACCACCAACCAGCCGCAATTTGAGGCTATGTCCACGGTATGATCAGTACCTAATCAATTGGGCTCCAGTTATATTTGTTGCTTTAGATTCACCCATAACTAGTTCGTCGTATAGACATATCCCCCTAATCAACCCAGGCGTTAAGCAAGTGAACTGTGCGTCAACTTAGCTATCATAAATCAGCTTTAGAATTAAAATTTAAAAACCCCATGAAATCCCAATTTTTGGTGGTTAAATGATGTTAAATGATGTTAAATGGACATTTTCCTGTGGTTTCAGATGGTTTCTGGCTGGTTGGTTAGATTTTTCCCACCGGTCCTTTCAAGGTCCACAGCGGCTGAGGTGAAAAGATTGCGTGGCTCTGGCTGCGCAACATGAGGAGTCGTTCTGGCAGCTGGAAGGGATCAGATACAAAAAGGTTGAGCTTGAGGTTGATTCAAGAAATATCTACATTTAGGTATCCCTTCAGGTATCCCGACAATCTATCTTTTACATAGATCTAAAGGAGATTGGATATCAACCTAGTTTGAGAAGATGAGTTCATTTTAGATTTGGGGAGTGATATGTATAATATACGTATATAATATATATATATATATATGATACTGTAATATGATGTAAGCATCTGAATCTGCTCATCCCATTGGTGACTCGGAGCAGCTATGTCAGTTACATCATTCACCAGGGTCATCCATTGTGGATTCAGTGGCATCATTTCCACTGGATATGTCTGAATAGTTCCCTGCAGAATTGCTACAGATTCCAAAAAAGGACATGGGGGTTGTTGGTTCCATGATCTGCAGCGGATCTGGGTAAAGGGTATATCATCACATTAAAAAGATTGGGTATTTCCCTCATACACTTCTCTTGCCTGCATGGTCGTTGTTTGATCAGTGAATGCAGCTGTTGCCAGCATCAGTTGGTCAGTTGAGCTCGTCGCCGCAGGAGATATTCACCCTTATACCAAAGGGCTATGGAATTGAACAAGCGAGACAACTTCAAGATGAGGTGCCGTCCAGTAAACAGGGAGCGGGTGGTTAACATTGGTGAAGTGTTCAGTGTTTGGGTATCTCAACCCCCCCATGCTTGATTGATAGCCATTGAATAGGCTATACCCATGGTTGAGATACCCATGTTCATGTCAAATCTCCAAGCGTCCCACTTCAATGGGGGTAAAACAATGTCAACCACCAATGGCTGGGAATGGTTTCCACATACCACCTATACAAATGGTGATGACTGGGGGATGGTAAACATGGCATTGTTTGACCATGTTTATCCACGTTGGATTTGGAATCTCCAGTGCCAAGGCATGAACGCCCCGCCGGCGAACGGTTGTCAGATGCCAGGCGGACCCGCAGGAAAAGGGTGTTTGTGCCGGATGATTGGAATTTGTTCAGATGATATACACATATTCCATCAGATGATATCATGATCATATCATGATCAGACCCACCATATTGATCATATATTATTATATGATAGATATTGTTCCCGAATGCGTAGCAAGGGTTCCCGTTTCACTCTGGGGGTCTGGGGGTTGAGAGTGTGTTCGCTCGACGTTGCGTCCGCGTCCGCAACCGTTCGCAACCGTTCGTACGAACTCCGTATGGCCGTGCCTATGGGAAGTTTTGCAGAGGTGGTCATTTTTGGAGGTTTCAGACGTGTCGTTGCTTCGTTTCGCGTGGCAGGCGTGGCACTTTGTGACATTCAGACGTGTTTTGCAACGTGTTGAATATCGTTTTGCGTGGCAGGCGCAATGCTTTTGTGACGTTTTTAGAAGATGTGTTGCAGTTTTCGTGGCAGGCGCAGCACTTTGGACGTGTCCATCGTCATTTTTCGTGGCAGGCGCAGCACTTTAGACGTGTCCTGTTGCGTGTTTTTTGTAAATCGCATTGGCAGGGCTGCGTCAAGTGGCGACAAGGTGCAAATTCCGTGGCAGGCGTGGCATTTTCTGACATGTGCTGAAAATTGACGGAAGTCTCGCACGAAACATTGATTTTGAGGTTACAAATTTTCAGGTTCTAAGGAAAACTCGTAGGAAAACGTCGATTCTGAAGCTACAAAGTGTGAAAATTGGCGGAAGTCTCGCAGGAAATGCTCGTTTTGGTGCTCCCACCTGTCTCTTCTCGCGTGTCTGGTTTTCCTGTGGCCTCGCCGTGTCTATGGGGGAAGCTGCAAAACTTGTCTTTTTGTCGTGTTGCCAACTGTGAAAATTGCCGGAAGTCTCGCACAAAATGCTTGTTTTTTCTGCATCCACGTGTCTTGTCGCGCGTCTCTCGTTTTCCTGTGGCGTCGCCGTGTCTATGGGGGAAGCTGGAAAACATATCCTTTTCGAATGTTTCCAAGCAGGTTGTCATGTCGTTTTGCGTGGCAGGCGTGGCACTTTGTGACATTCCAACCTGTTTGATAACCTGTCGACAATATCAAAATTGGAGGAAGTCTCGCACGAAATGTTCGTTTTGGTGCCCCCACGTGTCTCGTCTCGAGTCTCTGGTTTTCCTGTGGCGTCCCCGTGTCTATGGGGGAAGCTCCGCACTCCACACTCTACACTTTACACTCCACACTCCACAATTTACACTTTAGACTCCACACTCTACACTTTACACTCCACACTTTACACTTTGCACTTTACACTCCTCACTCCTCACCTGAGACTTTACACTCCACACTCCACACTTTACACTGCACTCTACACTTTCCACTCCTCGCTCCTCACTCTACACTTTACACTCCACACTCTAAACTTTACACTCCACACTCCACACTTTACACTACACACTCCTTACTTTACACTCCACACTTCACACTCCACACTTAGACTCCACACTCTACACTTTACGCTCCACACTCCACACTTTACACTCCTCACTCCACACTTTACACTCCACACTACACACTTTACACTCCTCACCCCACACCCCACACTTTACACTCCTCACTCCTCACTCCACACTTTACACTCCACACTTCACACCCCACACTTTCCACTCAACACTCCACACTCCACACTTTACACTCCACACTCCACACTTTACACTCCTCACTCCACACTTTACACTCACACTTTACACTCCACACTCCACACTTTACACTCCACACTTTACACTCCTCACTCCACACTCTACACTCCACACTCCACACTCTACTCTCCACACTCTACACTTTACACTCCATACTCCACACTCTACACTTTACACTCCGCATTCTACACTTTACACACTCTACACTCCCCACTCTACACTTTACACTCCACACTGCAGACTGGTAACAAGGGAACATGTACAAGACTGTTCAAATAAACTATTGCAGAAAGGTATTGTGCGTGACTGCATAACCATGTGTATTGACATCTGTACCATTAACATACGTGACGTGTGAGCATTCGGGTTCGTGGGCTTCATCTTGTTTTTTTGTTCGTCTAACATTATATGACATGCTCTCTCCTCGCTTTGTTTCAGATATTTACACTGCACAGTTCTTGAGCCCGTGAATTCTCCACTTCTCGTTCTTTGCGCATCCCAGTAACCTATAGATCCATGTTGGAACATGTTTTCTTTATATATCCCTGATGAGTTTCGATTGAACAGGGGCCACAGGACAGTGGATTTAAACTTCGGTCACAACAATGGACGTAAGCCACTTGAATGGATATACTGTATATACATATATACTATATATATACTCTATATATATATATATATATGGCTGCGAGTCAAAATGTAAAGCCCCGATCCATACCCTGAACCCACAGGCCGATCCATACCCCCGATCCATACCAAAACGCAGGTGATCCAGACCGTTCCATACGTCTGGATCACCGCGGGCCGATCCATACCCGAATTTTGACGCAACCCCATATAGTATATATATATATGTATATACTATATATATATACTATATATATACTATATATATACACTATATATATATACTATATATATATACTATATATATATACTATATATATATATATCCTAATATACTAAATATATATACTATATACACTATATATATACACTATATATATACACTATATATACTATATGTATACTATATATATATACTATATGTATACTATATATATATACTATATATATACTATATATATACTATATATATATACTATATATTTACTATATATATACTATATATATACTATATATACTATATATATACTATATATATACTATATATATACTATATATATACTATATATATACTATATATATACTATATATATACTATATATATATACCTAGTGAATCCCATTATATACATAGTAATACCAAAAAGTAAGGTAGAAGAGTGATCTATCACTGTGTCAGACCTCAATTTGGCCCATTTCTATTTTTTTTTTTATTCGGGCCCTTCACAACTCATCCAGCCTTGGACCATCAGCAGCTGGCAGTTCCAGCAGCAGCGAATCCTCCAGCGACTCCTCCAGCGACGAAGCTGTGGATTTGGATCCCGTGGGGCTTGAGGTGCCTGGGACCGGATCCTGCAGGTACCTGCAGGTGGTTACATGCGGGGGTTCCATAGTCATGGGGCTATTCCATAAATTTATCCACTATGAAAATATCAGCTAGTATGACTATTGGAGTTATACCAATGGTTTCCATAGTCATGGGCCTATACCCCAAACTAATGTATGATTTATGATGGAAAATCCGAAAGTAATAGCTGGATGATAACATATGATAACTAGCCCAAACTATACTTATGGATGGTTTATGATGGAAAATCCGAAACTCAAATAGAATAACTAGGGGTATATACCAATGGAAAACACCACGTGGATCCACATGGCACCCCTCTTTGTTGGTGGGTTGAAGACATAGATAATAGGCTGCAGTTGAGCTAAAAGATGACACATGCGACCATTTCACTATAACTTGAAACGTGGGTCAGTGAAGGATCGTCTGAAATATATAGTATATATACTATATATACCAACTATATATACTATATATACCATATATACTATAAAGGATTTTGACAATTTTCACACAGAGGGGATTTGACCTTAGAGCCTGGCCCAACCACTTACTTCCAGGCAGCCGTGCCTGATGCCTTCAAAACGCAGGGTGGCCCGGGAATTGGGTCTTCCCAATCAGAGCCACTGGAGGCAGTCCACGATTGCAGGTTTTTTTCCACATCGTTTTTTTGTATGTTTTTTTTTGTTTTTGGGTGTAGTTGGCTGCTTATTCTTGGGATACTTGTGATGATTATAGATGTATGCGATGATGCGATGAGGTGTAATGAGGTGTAATGAGGTGTAATGAGGTAAAGGCAAAAAACACCATCCCCAGTGTAAGCTTTGGTCAAAATGGATGACATAAGATGATGCCAAGATGATGCCTAGTCATGGTCTGGGTATCTCTGGGTGAAATCCTGGAAGATCATGGAAGCAGCCAATGGCATAGAATTACCAACATCAGTTGTCCACAGCCAACTGAATCCCAATCCTCAAAGTTTTAAACTAAGTTGGATATACACACTTGAACAGTCAGCAAGACACATTGCTCTCTTCCCGCCTCTGAAGTACTTCTTGCTGATGTTCTGGCTTTCACGCCAGTGGGTATTACTTGTATACATACACATACTCAAATACATATATATATATACATATATATATACATGCATACCATGAAATATCCCATGACATATCCCCATCCCATTGTTGTTTTCGTACCCAAGACTTGGCCTCTGCAATTTCCAGCAGCGCATAGGTTGGGTGCCGTGGGTTTTAAGCATCAGGGCTCGCCAGTCAGGGAGATGGTCACGTGGGGGGCCCAAAGTCGGCTTTGAGGATCACGGAAAAACCAGCTGAACACCGTGGGTTTTGAGCATTCAACATCAGGGCTTACCCTCTGGTAAACTAACATAGCTGTAGAAAATACCCCATTTATAGTGGATTTTCCCATTAATAGCATGGTGATTTTCTATAGATATGTTAGTTTACCAGAGGGTAGTACAGTTTTTCCGTTTTGAGGATGTCACATCACATCTGAAATTAAGTATCTGTTGGAGAGTGTAAGCCACAATTGAGTTGGGTGATGTGACATATTGGGACATGTACCAACACCTGAAAGCGGTAAAGCAGTGGCACCTGATCATTTTTCGTCCGGACATGAATATTCAATAATATTCATGCTTGGATGTGCTGATGATTTGGGATATTTTTCCCAATGGGAAACCCACTACGACTGGGGAATTGATTCAAGGCATGTTTTTTTTGGTTCCTTAAATCCAAGTATTGGATGATCGACTGGGAAAGAATTGCGGATGCCCCACAAACACAGCTTGGGAGCTGTGGGATGCTGTGTCGTTAAAGGCAAGTTCTCACTGGGCTAGGGCCAGTTGGAGGATGATTTTCTCACCGGTTACCATCCATGAAGGATGATCTTGCAACACATGGTGATGAATACGGAGATATAAATGGATGATATTGGCATGACTATTTGGGGTAAGGAATGAGTGCCAAGATACTATAAGATACTATAAGATACTTAGATACTATGAGTCATTAGATGTCATTAGTAATTCTGGAGCAATTTAGAGTGCAATGAAGTTAAATAATACATCAATCGAATTCTTGGGGATGTACAAGGCATGCAAGAATGGATGGTGATGAGTAAACAACGACGAACATCTGTGGTCACGTGGGTCTTAATTTTTTGGCCCAGACCCAGATGGGTTTGTCCGTGCAACATGCATGTTCTTGGCTGGTTGGTGGTTTAAAAAAAGTTTTATTTTCCATAATATATGGGATGTCATCCTTCCCATTGACGAACTCATATTTTTCAAGATGGTTATTGCACCATCAACCAGTTGGGGTGTGTTTCAGGTAATGTTCAGTCATCTTAGAAAAAAACACAACGGAAAATCCCATGCTCTGGAGAATCCACAAGTACGGGACATAGTCAGCAGCTGGTCATTATATACGTGTTTGACATATCGCCTATCGCTGCGTCCGGAACATATGCCACGGGTCAAAATTAATCTGCTTGGTGCTTTGGAACCATGGAATTTTATGACTTTCCCATCATATTGGGAATGTCATCATCCCAACTGACTTTCACTCCATGATTTTTCAAAGGGGTAGGGCTCAACCACCAACCAGCAATGTATGTGCCAATATCCGCAATGTTGCTTAAAAATCCCCCCCTGTTGGTTAGATGATTCCCCATCAACTGCTAAACATATGCCGTACGTGGGGATTTTGCACATCGGATGCGTAGGTAACAACATGTAACAACCACATGACATAGATAGGGGATGATGGGAATTCTATAGGGGTTATGGCCCTCACTATATTCACATAGAAAAGCCCAAGGCCTACACATATCAGTTATATAGTGGTTATATCTACAACTAATATATGATGGGAGTTCTATAGGGGTTATATAACACGTAGATATCAGTTATATATGGCCCCTCAATATAGTTACCCTCTGGTAAACTAACATAACTATGGAAAATCACCGTTTTTAATGGGAAAATCCACTATTAGTGGGCCATTTCCAATAGCTACGTTAAATTACCAGAGGGTATATAACCCAATCAAACAGCTTTCCCGGATCTCAAGTCTTTGCCGCAGCCAGCCAGCTTTGGCAGGGCTGCGCGCAACTCGATGGTCCCGGGCGAAGGTGGGAGATGGGAAAATGTCAAGGTCTGGAAAAATCCCAGAGGCTGTATGATGGATGATTTTGATATATACATATATATATATACATATACACGTTGATTGATTGATCTTGGTGTTTTTATGATTTCGAAATATGTCGATATCACCAGTTCGATATATTTTGATCATATGTTGATGTTTTCATTGATTGTTTACATTCGGACCCATTTTTGTGGTCAATATTTTGTGACAAATATTCCATGCAGCATGGGAAGGATGTTAAATGTTGACAAGGATGCTGAAGGTGTGTGTTTTCGTGTGAGGGGAGGGGCTACCTTGTCTTTGCCATATGTTTCGAACAACTCGAACAACTGTTCGCTCCTCACGAAGCATGAAGCTTGTCTTGTTTTCTTGCACATGGAGCTGTTCATCTTTGGAAGAACACATCACCTAAATCAGATCTACACCCCAAGATGTCGAAAACAAAGACACGGGTTTGTCTGAAACTGGGATATCCCCAACAGATCCCAAAAGTTGAATGGTTTTATGATGAGTTTCCCTAAAATGGCCGTGGCTTAGGGTTTTTTTCCACCATAGACAGATGCATCAGATGCCACGTCGCCTGCTTCAGGAGCGGCGGCAGTTCATAAGCGCCGGCGACTTGTAGAGGAGATTTGAGGGGTGACAGGCCCTTGTTGGTTTAGTAAAGCTTATCTACTAAGAGCGCTTAAAAGAATCACTGTTACAGTGTATAACAGTGTTCTTCACATATGAATTACTAATAGTGTATATGACTTTGGTTTGAAGACTTGGGTATGGATCAATACCTATTAATACCATTTTTAGGGGAATGAACATCCATTTACCAGCTATTTTGATGTTCACCAGGGGTACAAGGTTTTGACACACTGCCACTTGTTATCATTTGATTGCAATTTCTGTTACCAAAGAAGCTGCATATAGCTGCAGTCTAACTTGTTTTGGTTCTTCCTGGTTTGGTTCTTCGATGATCCTCTTTGGCTAGTAGTTTTCTTTGAAAGCAGTAAGCCTTAATAAAGAATAATAAAGATAATAAAGGTGGTGTCAGTTCGGATAGTATGTTTCAATATGTTTCATGGTGATATTCCAAAGTAGTATTGGTTGGCTACTGGTCATTCTGATCGGCTACGAACGAACGCTTTTTTTTCTGCAGGTAGTGGTTATGGATGGTTATGTAGTGTGGATTTGCCCGCAGAACCAGACAATCCTACTTTAACTGACATGGATGACAAACGCATTTCGACTCCTCATGTTTATAGACGCTTATCAATTTCGTGTAGATACTCATGTTTCAGCATCGTTGAACAGGATTGTCTATTAGTCTCTGTCCCGCTGCCGATAGGTGCTGATTAGGCACGCGACTTCAATGTTCTAATTCAGTCTTGAACACAACTCTAATGTAACTGGCGATGGTCCAACTACTCATAGGCGGAATATGGTGGAATGAACTTCCAGGAACCCAGGAAGGAACTCGATGATGTGCCGCCGACAAACATGTCACACAGAGTTTGACATCTAATATGTTCAAACAGCAACAATCGACACGGTGGAGTCATATGAACTCACCTGGTTGGTGGTTTGGAACATGGTTTTTATTTTCCATAATATATGGGATGATCCTTCCCATTGACTAATAATGGGATATTAATGGTTAATAATGGGATATTAATGGTTAATACTCTGGTTGGTGGTTTGGAACCATGGAATTTTATGACGTCCCATATATTGGGAATTTCAGAAAATCCCAACTGACGAAGTCCATCATTTTTCAGAGGGGAGGGCTCAACCATCAACCAGCCACTGTCAGTGTGATGTTTGGAGCTGCAGGAAATGCGGAATGCCTGAGGGCGAGCGACTTGCGTGGCAAGGGCGAGAGATCCTGGTGTGGAGACAGCTTGAGGATATCAAGGCGACTAGGTCCTCTTTGAAAGGCTTGCCAAATTACACAAGACCATTTGATGCTTGAGGTTTTAGAGTTTTGGAGATTGATTTTTGGATATTTTTGGTAGAAGATCAGCTCGGCACGCTGAAGATTGATTTAGATTGATTACCCTCTGGTAAACAAACACAGCTATTGAAAATTGCCCATTTATAGTGGATTTACCCATTTAAAATGCTGATTTTCCATAGTTATGTTAACGTTTACCAGAGGGTAAGTACATATCTTACAAACTCGAAAGCTGGTTGAAGCGGTTAAAACCGGTTCCATGGGGGTCCGTTTGAAAACCCATCACTCCGCAGCGGTTTGCACCATGATTCTGCTACAGTCTGTACATCATGATGATTCACCAATGGATTTGGTATGATTTGGTAAAACATGGTGAAACCCTATGTTCAAACCCAGGGTACCCTCTGGTAAACTAACATAACTATGGAAAATCACCATTTCTCATGGGAAAATCATGGTAAATCACCATTTTTCATGGGTAAATCACAATTTTTCATGGGAAATTCCACTATAAATCGGCCATTTTCAATACCCAAAAATGCCATTCTTTGCAGCCTCAGAGCTCTCCGCCCCGCCCAACGCGGCCGTGGCCGTCATCATCCGCATGCGCGGCTATCCCATGCATGGCCGCTCCAGCTAAGCAAAGCTAAGCAGTGCAGGTTAGACCCTGTTGAAGATGAGATTCCAGCCAGCTTCAATCGCCAAAAACCAAGCAACGACTATATACATATATATATATACATTGTATATTATATATTATATTGTTTTTATATTTTATATTTTATATATTATATATTTTATATTTTATATTATATATTATATATTTTATATTTTATATTATATATTATATTTTATATTGTATATTTTGTATATATATTAAATATTATATATTAAATAATTATATAATATATTTTATTACATATTATTACATATTACATATTACACATTACACATTACACATTACATATTACATATTACATATTACATATTACACATTACATATTACATATTACTGTACATATTACATTATATTATATACATACATATTATATCTCCATTTATGGCCATTTAAAAAGAGGGACACTTCACTTATGGCCATTGAAATAGGGACAGTTCAACGGTTTCATTCAGTTTCATTCATGGATTTTCCCATCTAAATCTCAGACAAACCCAGATGTTCCATGAATCTTTGTGGGGTTTGGGGCACTGCTCAGCTGTTTTGACTGAAACGCCTTGGTGACAAATTTTCGGCGGCAGGCCTCATGAAGACCTCGTCATGACTGGATACTGGGGAAGCAAACCCCAAATGGGCTGCCATATTTCCCATTGAAAACGGCCATTTATAGTGGATTTACCCATTAATAGCATGGTGATTTTCCATAGCTATGTTAGTTTACCGGAGGGTAGTGATGAATTTGTTCAGGTCATCTCAGGAATTTGCTGATGCAAAAATACCGAAGGAATGCAACCAGCAACAAGACGGTGTTGAGGCTTGGGATTTGCCCTTCCTTCTCAGGTGTCTCTGCCTGCGTTCATCGCAGGTTGTGTAGTGACTACATAATGACATCATTATGTGTAATTATGACAACCTCACTGCGACGTCACTGGAAATGATGTTTAGTCAGGGGAGTCATCCCAAAATTGATTACTTCATTTCAGTCTGATCATACTGTAACTGGTTGGTGGTTTGGAACATTTTTTATGTTTCCATATATTGGGAAGAATAATCCCAACTAACTAATATTTTTCAGAGGGGTTGAAACCACCAACCAGGTAATTATGGTAATTAATTCCGGCCGATCCTTGAATCTAGGAGCATGACACATGAGATTTAAAGATTGCTGGTGTGGGCCTATGGGTATCAATCCATGGTTACATTGTGAAGTCTCCGTCTTGTGCCATTTTTTGCAACCTGGAGCTTTGGAGGATGATGCTCGGAATTTGGCTGCCAAAAGGTTGAGAACCAAGCACCTTTTCATGTGGAATCATGCAGTCCTTTGAGCCCAGGTGTGCCATGATCAAAAGTTGGATTAGATGAAGCCGCTAATTCTGGGATGGTCATACCTCCATTGACAACAGGATGAAAAGAAAGGCCAATTTCAAGGTGTGATGACTAGACTACCCGTATGACTACCCATGTAGCTTGACCATGGCACATATGTAAATCAAAAGAAACATATAAAACCCATCAAATCCCTCATAAATTTCTTGTACCCTCCGATAAAAGAACCATGCCAATGCAAAATTCACCATTTATGGACGAATTTCCCAGAAGCACCATTAAACAACTCCATTATTAGAGGATTTCCCAGCTGGAAATGTGTGATTACCGAAGGGTAAATCCCATGCGACAAGATCAGTTTCCACCAGAATTGTGCGCGCCTGTGCCATGGTGGACGATGAGATCAGGTGCACAGGACTGATGTTTCGATGTGGCTTCGTTTGGTCCTAGGTTTGGTGGCAGAATTGGTCAAATCACTCAACGCATTCACGAGAAGTTAGTAAACGAAGATTTGTCATGATTTGTCAAACCTCACCTCGTGACTATGAGTGAGGTTCTAGGTCTCCATCCTTGATGGGCTATGCGATGCTATGCGGCTCTGCCATCATTTTGGGGCTGTATTATTCACTCATTATTCTGTATTTGGGTTGTTCACTCGCTGCCAGCTTGATTTCTTTATTTGGAGGCTGATAATTTTCCGATTGATGATTTAGTGATGTCTAGATTTCTAGTGTTTTTTTTAAAGATGGAAATCACTATAGAATCAACATTGGAAAATTATTGGAAAATGTCTGGAAATCACTGGCTGATCAGCCAGATTTCGTGTTTTTCCAACTGGCTCCACTGATTTTCAGCGGCGAGCCGCCCGTGTTGGAATTGGATGCCGAATGTTGGCACTGAATCAGAAAGTTGCTGATCAAGATGAATTGTACATGATACGTTCCGTGGATGTTGTAACCCTACAATTGGATTTACCCGACGTACTAAAAAATATCTGACAAAGAACAAAGGGATATAACCTACGGATCCTAAGTGGGATGAGCCACCAAGTATCTTCGACTGTTCATCTTGCTGGTGGATAGCGGGGCTTCTGCTATCCTGTTCGTCAACGGAAAAAAGACGAAAAAACGGGAAGTCACAACCAAGAATCCCTCGGGGGTCTTCCACGGAACATCCGGAAACCATCAGTTTTTATCCTGGAAACTAACATATAGATGTGGCAGAAGCATACTGTAGTTTTTTCGTTTCAGAACATGGTATAGAAATGGTACGTTTTCCACATCGTAAACGTTTACAGGAGGCTTACCCATCCCCCGCTGCGCTCAGGAATATCTTCGACATTGTTTGCACCTCAGTTTTCCGGTTGTTTGATGAGATTACTACACTCAATATATGAAGATTCTGGGGTCAATAGCAACTGCATGGGATGGTATTTTATCTCCCACTTTACATAGATCCTGAAACTGTGGAATCGAGTCTTCCAACGGCCCTATGAACGACAGGGTCTATGTTAATTTGCTGGAGGTCTTTTTTAAAAATCATGGATAAACTGATGGTCTACGTATTTCTGAAGAGACGGCAAGCCTGGTCCACTGCCAAAATCATAATAACGTCATACTCCAAGATTGTTTCAGTATGTTGCAGTTATACATGGAACATCCCTTATGTATGTATCGGATTATATGTCTT